ACTCTATCTTTTGTTCCTCGCATCTTGAAAGGACACAATGTTTTGCCATCCATCTACATGGAAAAATAAACTACCCGGGTATTGTAAACAAGTAGGCTATGATCCATGTGGCATATATGGTCTATGAAGCATATAATATGTAGACAAGTGACTTATGGTACATGTGATTCATGAGCTAGTAATTTATAATGTCGATAACATTTGAAACATCAATATATGATGCTAATAAAATATGAACAAGTGATTGGTAGCACGTAATTGGTGAATTAGAACAAGGTCATATGAAATATATAACAAAAGTGAGAGCTTTATTCAGCAAATAACACCTACATGCAAGTAATCCAAAAAAGAATATGTAACAAATGGGAAAATAATCCATAATAAGGCATAGGACATGTAACATGTACAACCATATAAGCAACTAGAGCCTTTTCAAACAAAGAGACATCATATTGAAAGATTCTATCAAATCTCAAGTGCAAGGACACTACTGCTAGTTCTAACTCATTGATGGTGTAGTTCTACTTGTGTTTTTTTACTCATCATAAAGCATATGCACTGTGTAAACCTTGCATAGGCCTTATAGGGTAAGCTGATAGTTTGGTTAACCTTGAAATTTCATTTGGAGATTTGCGAGAGTTTCCTTTATAAATAGGACTATCCAAAAGATATAGACTAACCTAAAACACGTATAGACAAGTCTCGCATGACGTCTTCAACAGATATGGTTTATGAAATAAGAATATGGCAAAGCAAGCCCTTTTCTTGACCATGTAATTCACTGAGGATACACAAGTAGAACTCATACAAATAAGGAATTTAATATACCTACTAAACACAAGACATGCAAATGACATATCAAATGAACAAATGCTAGTAAGACTTATGATCATATAAGGGGACCACATGATCTCAGATCCTTATATTGATGTTTAGAATGAGGAGGGGCATTTAGGATCTCTACCTTCTTTTATTCCCAAGTATCTTATGTTATATTCTAGTCCTTCCACAACACCTCAATGGAGGTTACACCTTTTGTGCTTAGTTTCCGGGCCTTAACAATCAAGAATAACTATAGTATCTCCTAAAAAAACTGTGGAACAGACACATAAAATCATAGGCCTAACCTATCGGGGCTTTACTTTCCCTTCTCCTTTATCTTATGACGCTTTTCAGAGGTGAGTCTTATAAGAACGCATACCTGTTATTAGCCTTACTTGTTACAACATTTCATATGCACCTGCTTGTCATCTCAAATGTTACATGCCCTACGAGGCATGTAACATAAACCTCAAGAGCATTTAAGACGGACCGGCACTCGGTGCCTTAACTTGATACCTCACATGACTGAGCGGACCACTTAACTGAACATACCTACAAGGGATAGCAGCAAAATATATTAAGTAATGCATTGATCATCAACTAGAATGAGAAGCTATTATTTTATACATATAAAAGTTATCAGTGCATATGCTATCTTAGTGGACCCATAGGGCAGTATGGAAGACATACTCTTACTATAAGAACCTGATTTGGACATAGTCTACGAAACCTCTAACATATGATATGATCCATAAATATGTCGAGACAAGGCGGGACGTACCTTAAGCCATCTATGTAAATCATATGAAAAAAGTAAGGCCCTTAGTGGAATTGGGTATCACTGACTATAGATGAAAATCTGCAAGGGGTTCCCGCCAAGAAACTTCCCATCTAAAACGTGTGTACCTGCAGTGTGAGTGCAGCACCCCCGACATAATATAAAACGACGTGAGTAGATACAAAATTTGTACTCGTATGCAAGGCAAATTAGGGTTTCTTAATGTTTTTTTGGGTTTAGGGTTTGGGATTTTCTAAGGGTTTGGATTTTGGGCTTATGGTTTTTTTAGGGTTTACGATTTAGAGTTTCTTAGGGTTTAGAGTTTGGAATTTAGGGTTTCTTAGGTTTAGGGGTTTTAAAGTTTTTTTTTTGTAAGGTTTTTTAGGGTTTAGGGTTTTTTTAAAAATGATTTTAGGGTAAATTATGGTGTAGGGCTTAGTGTTTTTAGAATTTTTTAGGTATAAGGTTTTTAGGGGTTCTAAAATGTTTTTTTTAGAGTATATAGGTTAGAGTTTTTAATGGTTTTTAGGGATTCTAAAACAGTTTATTGCTTAAGTTTTTCTATGATTTTTTTCAGGTTAAAAGTTTTTTTCGATTCAAGATTTTTTAGGATCATTATTGTTTTTTCGATTTAGGGGTTAGGGCTTAGGGTTTTTTAAATTAAGGATTTTTTAGGGTTTTTTAGTGTTTAGTTTTTCTTAGAATTTAGGGTTTCTTAGGGTTTAAGGCTTCCTAGAGTTTCATGAGGCTTAGGGTTGGGGCTTTATCCCTAAGGTTTAGGGTTTAGGTTTCTTAGGGTTTGAGTTTAGCATTTAAGGTCTCCTAGGTTTATTTTGGGTATTTTAGAGTGCAGGGTTTAAGGTTTAGGGTTGTTAGGTTTAAGATATTTTAAGGGTTTTTTAGGTTTAGTGTTTTTAAAGTTGTTTTTAGGGTTTAAGATTTCTTAGGGTTTAGGGTTTCTTGGTGTTTCATAAGGCTTGTGGTTTAGGGTTTTCTCCTAAGGTTTAGTGTTTCTTAGAGTTTAGGGTTTATGACTTAGGGTTTCTTAAGGGTTTCAGATTTCTTAGGTTTAGGCTTTTAAAGGTTTTTTTAGGTGCTGATTAATATGCTTATGATATGCCAACTCAAGGTTAGCTTGGGGTCACTCGTGATCCTAGGTCTCGTGTTACGTCAAGGGGGTAACCTCGAGGCGTGACAAAAACTATGTCTGAATAAAAGTCTCTAACTGAATAGAGATGCTGGGACATGCCCCCAGCTAATTCTAGCAAAACTGAAACTAAAATGGAAAACTGAATACAAAACATGCCAATCATCCTCGAAGAATGAGAACTCACCACTGATATTGTTGAATACGGATTAGGAACCGATATCTACGTGATATGAATGCTGAGGACCTGAGCATCACGAGAAGATGTAGCCTAGAATATGTGTCAATACTTGAAAGGTACTGAGCATGATAGGATAAAGCTGAACAAATATATACAACAAAACTAAGCATATTGAACAATGATATAATCTGAACATGAAGAATAAGGGTTTAGTTATTTGATTAAGAGTTTTTAGGTTAGAGTTTAGAGCGTATGTTTTTCTAGGATTTTTTTAGGTTAAAAGTTTTTTCAATTAAAGGTTTTTAAAGATTTTTTTTAGGATCATTATTGTTTTTACGGTTTAGAGGTTCATAGGGCTTAGGACTTAGGGTTTTAGATTAAGTTATTTTTTTAGGGCTTTTAAGGTTTGTTTTAGGGTTTTTAAAAGGTTTTTAGGGTTTTTTAGTGTTTAGTTTTTCTTAGGATTTAGGGTTTTTTAGGGTTTAGGTCTTCTTAGAGTCTCATAAGGCTTAGGATTGGAGGTTTATCCTTAAGGTTTAGGGTTTAGGTTTCTTAGGGTTTGAGAGCATTTAAGGTCACCTAGGTTTATTTTGGGTCTTTTAGGGTGTAGGGTAAATTTAGGGTTTAGTGTTTTAGGTTTAGGGTAGTGTTTAGTGTTTAGGTTTGTTAGGTTTAACAGTTTTTAAGGGTTTTTTAGGTTTAGAGTTTTAATGTTTTTTTTTTTTTTTAGGGTTTTTTAGTGTTTTTTTGGGTTTTTTTTCAAGATAAAGAGTTTTTTTCGATCTAAGAATTTTTAGGATCATTATTGTTTTTACGGTTTAGGGGTTCTTAGGGCTTAGGGCTTAGTGTTTTACGGTTTTTTTAGGTTAACGATTTTTAGGATTTTTCAGTGTTTAGTTTTTCTTAGGAATTAGAGTTTCTTAGGATTTAGGGCTTCTTAGAGTTTCATAAGACTTAGGGTTTGGGGTTTATCCCTAAGGTTTAGGGTATAGGTTTCTTAGGGTTTGAGTTTAGCATATAAGGTCTCTTAGGTTTATTTTGTGTCTTTTAGAGTGTAGGGTAAATTTAGGGTTCAGTATTTTAGGTTTATAATTTTTCTAGGGTTTAGGTTTTAGGTTTGTTAGGTTTAAGATTTTAATGATTTTTAGGTTAAAGTTTTTGGTTGTTCTTAGGGTTTAGGGTTTCTTATTGTTTTTTTGGGTTTAGGGTTTGTGGTTTTCTTAGGGTTTGGGTTTTGTGCTTATTGTTTTTTTATAATTTTTCTAGGGTTTAGGTTTTAGGTTTGTTAGGTTTAAGATTTTAATGATTTTTAGGTTAAAGTTTTTGGTTGTTCTTAGGGTTTAGGGTTTCTTATTGTTTTTTTGGGTTTAGAGTTTGTGGTTTTCTTAGGGTTTGGGTTTTGTGCTTATTGTTTTTTAAGGTTTTATGATTTAGGGTTTAGGGTTCAGGGTTTAGAGTTTGGAATTTAGGGTTTCTTAGGTTTCTTAGGTTTTAGGGGTTTTATATTAAAGTTTTTTTAAAGGGTTTTTAATTTTTGTTTTAGGGATTTTAACGATTTTTAGAGTTTTTTAGTGTTTAGTTTTTCTTAGAATTTAGGGTTTAAGGCTTCTTAGAGTTTCATAAGGCTGAGGGTTAGGGCTTATAACCCTAAGGTATATTATGGTTTAGGTTTCTTAGGGTTTGAGTTTAACATTTAAGGTCTCCTATGTTTATTTTGGGTCTTTTAGAGTGCAGGGTTTAGGGTTTAGTGTTTTAGATTTAGGGTTTAGGTTTATGGTTTAGATTTAAGATATTTTAAGTGTTTTTTAGGTTTTGTGTTTTTAAAAGTGTTTTTAGGGTTTCTTGGTGTTTCATTAGGCAAGGGTTTAGGGTTTCTTAGGTTAAGGCTTTTAAAGGTTTTTTTAGGTGTTGATCTAATATGGTTATGATATGCCAACTCAAGGTTAGCTTGGGATCACTCGTGATTTTAGGTCCCGCGTTACGTCAAGGGGTAACCTCGGGGAGTGACAAAAACTATGTTCGAATAAAAGCCTCTAACTGACTAGAGATGCAGGGACATGCCCCAACTAACTCTAGCAAAACTGAAACTAAAATGGAAGACTGAATATATAACATGTCAATCATCCTCGAAGAACGAGGACTCACCACTTGATGAATACGGATCGGGAACCGATCTCCATGTGATCTGAATGCTGAGGACCTGAGCATCACGATAAGATGTATAATATGTGTCAATACTTTACAAGTACGGAGTATGCATGATAGGATAAAGTTGAACAAATATATATAACAGAACAAAGTATAGTGAACAATGATATAATCTAAACAAGATAAATAAGGCTTTAGGTATTCGATTAAGAGTTTTTAGGTTAGAGTTTAGAGCTAATGTATTTCTAGGATATTTTTAGGTTAAGAGTTTTTTCGATCTAGGATTTTTAAAGATTTTTTCGAATCATTATTGTTTTTATGATTTAGGGGTTCTTAGGGCTTGGTTTTAGATTAAGGCTTAGGGTTGGGGGTTTATTCCTAAGGTTTAGGGTTTAGATTTCTTAGGGTTTGACTTTTAGCATTTAAGGTTTTTAGGGGTTCTTAAAGGGTTTTTTTTAGAGTTTATAGGTTAGAGTTTTTAAAGGTTTATAGGGGTTCTAAAAGGGTTTATAGCTTAATTTTTCTAGGACTTTTTTTTAGCTTAATAGATTTTTTCGATTTAAGATTTTTTAGGATCATTATTGTTTTTACGGTTTAGGGGTTCTTAGGGCTTAGCGCTTAGGGTTTTAAATTAAGGATTTTTTTAGGTTTTTTAAGGTTTGTTTTAGGGAATTTTAGTTTTAGGGTTTTTAGGAATTTTTAGTGTTTAGTTTTTCTTAAGATTCAAGGTTTCTTAGGGTTTAGGGCTTCTTAGAGTTTCATAAGGCTTAGGAATTGGGTTTATCCTTAAGGTTTAGGGTTTAGGTTTCTTAGGGTTTGAGTTTAGAATATAAGGTCTCCTAGGTTTATTTTGGGTATATTTTTTTTTTTGAGAAAGTTAACTGGTATTATAAACATAGAAGTACACCAATAGTGAACTCCTGTAGTAATTACATCAAAAGTATAGAGGGTTTACCAAAAAGAAACTAAACACCTATCTCCCTCATAAACTATCTAAGAATAGGGTGATGTCCCCCGGATCCTTGGGAATAGAATGGATACACCAAAAGTAAAAGGTCACTAAACAATTCATTTTAATGCTTTGGAAAGGGATGCTCTTGTTCTCAAAACATCTCTGATTTCTCTCACTCCATATTGTCCATCAGATGCAGGCAGGGACAATCTTCCATCTCTCCTTGTGTCCTGACTGATATTTGGGTATTTTAGGATATAGGGTTTAGGGTTTAGTGTTTTTCTATGGTTTAAGTTTTGTAGGTTTTAAGATATTTTAATGGTTTTTTAGGTTTAGTGTTTTTAGGGTTTAGGATTTCTTAGGGATTAGGGTTTCTTGGTGTTTTATGAGGCTTGGGGTTAGGGTTTTTTCCCAAGGTTTAGGGTTTATTGTTTGTTAGAGTTTAGGGTTTCTTAGGGATTTCAGATTTCTTAGGTTTAGGCATTCAAAGGTTTTTTAGGTGTTGATGTTAATGCTTATGATATGTCAACTCAAGGTTAGCTTGGGGTCACTCGTGATCATAGGTCTTGTGTTTCGTTAAGGGGGTAACTTCAGGGCGTGACAAAAACTATATCTGAATAAAATCCTCTAACTGACTAGAGATGCTGGGACATTCCCCCTGCTAACTTTAGCAAAACTTAAACTTAAATGGAAGACTGAATATAAAACATGTCAATCGTCCTCGAAGAATGAGGACTCACCACTGATATTGGTGAATACGAATCGAGAATTGATCTCCACGTGGTCTGAAACGAATTGAAGCTTTCTTGATTATATTAACTATGTGGCATGTGGGAAGTAGTAGCCCGTGCCTTCACTTAAACACTTAAACATGCCTGCAAATGTTGGAATCAATGAGCATCATGTCAGTATGTACTCTAATAATATGCAGGAAAGGCAAATATGCAGAAAAGGGAAGAGACTTACAAACTTCATGGAATTGAAGAGTGCTAAAAGTTTCTCAGCAACCAGGATATCTTACTGTTCCAAAGGATATCAGCCTATAAAAGAAAAAATTAATAAGAGAAAAAGGGAACTTAAAAACATATATGGGCAGTATAAAAAAAGTGGCCAAACACATGTACAACCCCTTAAACTTGTCTTTAAATTTCATTTTGGCACTCCAACTCAACCTTATTCCATTTTAACCCTTCAACTCCAATTTTTATGTTCCATTTTAACACATTTGTTTTACCTTACATAATTGTTATGCGCATGTTAGACAAGTAAAAAACATCCAATTACATACCTCCATGTGTTTTATTTTCTCCATATCATCCGGGTTAACCCAATTCTATTACAGATCCTTTAATTATTTCCCTCCAAAAATGAAAAGACTTCCGTAACCTATTCTTCGGACAAACCTTTTAAAACAACAATCCTTCCCCAAGTCCCCACCCTTAGAAGATTAAACCTTCTGCAATTATCAATGATTTCTTCCCATTTAAAGACAAAAAATCACATTTGAAGACTAAGATCTTCTAAAAGTTAAAGTTGCTTTGGTTGTTACTAGTAACCAAATCTTATAACCATGCTTTGTAGTTTCCTTTTGGATGTTATGTGGTTTTTCTTTTTCTTTTTTTAGTGTTTCTCATTAGGAATTTTTTATGCAAGATTTAGATTTTTAGTTTCAAAATTAACTGTAAATCTTCTGATGATATTCTTCTTTCCCCTTTTCTTTTCATGTCAGTGTAAATCTAACTCATGGCAGAAGAATACATTCTTGTTCGATTCCATCATGGTGGTTCTTTTATCAAAGCTCCAATCCGAAATATGTTGGGGAGAGTAAGGTAACTCCTTTAGATAAAGACCATTTTTCTTTGGTTGAATTGGGTTGTTATACAAAGGATATAGGGAATGCATCTGTTGGGGACCTATATATTTAACTAATTCCAATGAATTTGTTTTGTTGGAAAATGACAGACAAATTTTAAATATTGTATCTCACCTTAAACATGGTGCTTTTTTAGACTTGTTTATTAGCCATGTTGTTAATCGACCTATTTTGGTGGAAGAGAGGGTCCCATTTTAATTTCAAGTGAGCTTGGGGTGGTTCAAAACAGTGAGAATTCAATAAATAGGGGGTCTAGGGTTGCATTAGGTGAACACCCTCAACTTATTGCTAGAGATGCAGCAACCAGTTCATATGTTACCGAGCAGGACGAAACAACAGATATAAGAATTGAAAATGTTGATGCAAAGGAATCTGATGGTGATTTGCCTTCAAATCTGTACAGTAGTGAATCTGAGTTAGATGTTATACCTAAGGAAGATGATAGTGAGTTAGATGAGGAGTTAAGAGCATTCAGAACAGAAAGAAGAAAGAAAATTCATCAGAAAAAGAAGAGGAAGTTGCCTGTTCCGACAGCAGATTGAGCTAGGAGAGGCTCCAGACAAAGGTTTTAATGATGTTAACAGGCGAAACAAAAGAGACAAGTATGCTGGAAGATTGGGGGAAAATGAGGAGTGCTATAGTAGCTCAGATATTGGTAGTGATGACAGTAAAGATGAGTTGGATGTTCTAGCTCAAAGAGGCATCGACTTACCAGCTAGAAGAAAGAGTAGAAAACTAAGGTTTGATGGAGATTGTCAGATAACTATTTTTTAACTTAACATGGACTTTGAGAGTCCTGTGCAATTTAGAAAAGCTGTGTAATCTTATGCTGTAGAGAACAAAGTGCAACTCGAACTTAAGCCTAATGAGAAGCACAAAATTAGAGTCAAATGTAAAAGCAAAATACTATGCAAATGGCAGATATATGCAAGCACTAACAGGATTTCTGGTGACTTTATTGTGAAGAAGTACCACCCATTTCATCGCTGCCCAACTAAAAACAAGAACAAGTTATGAACATCTGTGTACATTGCACAAAAATATCAAGATAGGATTGTATCTCAACCTAACATAAAACTTTGGGAGATTCAGGAATTGGTAAGGGATCAGTTGGGTTTGTATGTAGGGAGGACTGTTTGTTATAGAGCCAAGTGCAGGGTAATGAGTCAGTTCAAGGGTGATTGGAATCTGGAATTCTCTAGATTATGTGACTATGCTGACATTATTAAGAAGACAAATCCTGGAAGTTCTTGTTGGGTTAGGACAGACACAGTTACCGTTTATGTTCATGATGGTACATGAATAATCTGACTGCTCACTCTATTAACAAACTCCAACTATAATGAAACGTCTTAATGTTGTTAGAAAAATGTTAAAGATGGTAACATGAAAATATACAAAAATGGCACCTCTTCCACTAAATAATAGTAGTAAGTAATCTATCCATATTTGACCAACTGACCTGATTTAAGACAAGAATATAATTCAAGAAAAATTGTAGCACAAAGACACCGCTAATACAGTGAAGATCTACCAGGTTGCAGAAATATCACCAACTTATTGTTTCACAAGCACTTTCTTGGAATCCGTTCTCATGTGTAAACGATGAAATTTGAAGCAAAAATGTAACATTTAGTAAGAGTCTCAGAGAGTATCAACAACAAGAACTAAAGAACCTCACCTTTTGTGCTTTGCTGTGATATTTCTTTTTATTTTCACTAGCAGGAACAATCTTCTCCAAAACTGCCTTCCTAGTTGATGCAAAAAGTAGCCGAATTAGGTTTGTTGCATCTTCATCACTTAATTCAACCGATAGCTCCTTCTTCCAAGAGCAAAGATAGGATACGTTTCAATCCTGTAAAGACATAATTTTCAAGTGAATATTTTCTTCAAACATGGAACAAACTCAGGGATCCATGATAAGAAGGAGACCCTTGTTAAGTTTACCTATGATAAAATAGAAATATAGCTGTCTAATCAATAAAAATAGAAAATGTCTATAAAGGCAGGTTGTAGAAAATTATTGTCTAACCAAACTACAGATAATTGTATTATAGCATTAATACTAAAAACCACAAAGAAATACGGGACAAATTCAGAAATTATACAGTAGCTTATAACGTCTTTCAAACAAATTTGAGCCACTAAAAGACCAGGCTCACTTAAAGTTGAAGGGAGATACTACTAAAACCAAAACTACATACTATTTTCATGTAGCAATGTAATGTCCACTCTATTGAGCAGACAACTCATTTCCAAGAGCATATCCTCATGTTCATAGAAATAATTGAAAACTATGACAAACTAGGATATCGAATTTATGATGAAAAGGGTGTGTGCTTGTATTGGTGGGAAAAATTATGACATCCCTGCATCATGTGTTCCTCATTTTTAAAGGTACGTTATTTCTCTGTGGTTGCATCACCTTTCATTTACATCTAAGAACAACTAGCATTTTAAAACATAAGTGGAAGAAGCAGAGTAGTTCTGGTAAGTTGGAACACACTAATTGATGAATCACAAGAAGTGTGACAAAAATAGATCTCTCTATTAAATGAAAGAAGAAGTATTACCTGTATGACAGCCATCCACCAAGCTCACAATATCTAATACCCTAGGAAGTAGTTAGTGTTTTTCCCATCTGATCCATTGAGGGATACCAGACACTTCAGGTCCATAGGATTTTCTCAATTCCATATGCATGGAAATAAGGGCATCCATGATCAATTTCCTAAGACTGGAAGTTGCTGCCGTTGCATATATCTGATGATTACACCAAAGCTGCTAGCTCCGTGGAAGATACAGGGGTTGCTTTTCGGAACAGCCACCACTGTTCTGAAAAAATAACACAACCTAGACCAAGAAAAACAACAAACTCAATCAACCAAAAGAGAACATAAAAGGCACTAACAGGAGATAAGTGAACCTAGAAGTTTGGAATAATGCTTACCCTACATGCAAGTTGACTTGCACGAAGACCTTCCGGAGATTTAGTAGTGAGGAAGGACTCAAGTAGATCAAACAATGCACTTCCCTTGGAGATAAGGAAGATGAAGATTGTTCCAGGACTGGAATGTTCCAGAGTTTAAGATAGATGTAGCCTGCAAACATGCGGATGCATGTTAAGAAGCAAAAATTCAATAACCTAAACAGTAAGCCAAAGAAGTTGAGTATTGGTAAAACTACAGAAAACAAGAATTTTTAAAACTACAGTATACCCACCTTTTATAACCGAGAAATCCGTCTATGACACGCCCTTTGGACCAATCATAGCCTTCTAAACTCGGTGGATAATGGGCCCACCCCTCTACCCTTCTCCATTTAAATATCGGGCTTCGCTTTGCATGGTGTGGGGATTGAACCTGCGACCTAAGCCACAAATCCCCCACCTTTTTCCACTCGAGCTATGCCTTGCGGGCAGTCTGTGCAAGAACATTATGCAAGCTTTCGATGGAAATTTGCCTTCACAATTGAAGATCATAATCCAACATTTTCTAGTTTACAAGCAGTTAATATTCAGCATCACCATCCTGCAACAACAAAAATTGCACATTTAATAAAAATGCATCAATAAAACACACAGTCCAAGAATGTTTCGTCTCATGATCAACAATAATGTCATATTATCAATAATGTCAGATTGTCAAAAGGTATTCTCTCTTTAATCATTTATATTTACAACTCAGATTTTTTTCATCAGAAAATCTAGATTGGAGAGATACACATTATTACTTCACATTAAAAGTGATGCAAAAGCTCTGAAAATCACTGAACATTATTCGAATTATTTAACATATTCAGTCACAAATAAAAAATATACTTCGTATGCTCTCTATTTGAGTTGATAAAAACAAAAGGAGATTCAATGAAGGCCATCATACAATGAATCAGTTTGAATCTTGCACTACCTCCTGATATTAAATGTTCTAAATTGAATTCTAATGGGGACGGCCTAGTGATTGTGACAAGGAACTTTGAGGAGCTTTGGATCAGAGCTAATTAATCACAATGAGGTCCAACTACTTCTGCTGCTGATGCTAATGCTTTCTTTGTTTTCTAAAGTGAAAGAAAGGAAAAGGACTAGAAGAAGGCAAGTTTTGGTAATGGAGAAATAATGCAAGAGGCTCAGATTATGTCAAGGGGATTTCAGTTCTTTGTGCCCAGCATAGCTGCAAATTCCCAGAAATTCAGATTGCCCCGCCAAGACACCATCTCTAACTCTAATGCCCGACTCAAAGAGCTCAGCAAAACTATCATCACAGCCTTATTGTTTCCTCTTGCTCACTTTATGAGCATGTAACTCTGTTTGAATTGCATTGGAACACACCCAGTGAGGACCAAACTAGCACAACAGAAATATGTGTGCACAATGCATTATAGACACAAGAATTATGAATATGCATAAACAGTCGGCTAGTTTAAATTCAAAGCAAAAATAAGTCACCAGAATGTTTGGAATGGTCATCCACACGGAGAAGTTCATAGCAAAGAGAAATCACCAGAACGTCCGAGCTGGTCATCCACACAGAATCATCTCTCACGGTATTATTATTATTTTATTATTTTCATGTATATTTTGAAGACTGTTGGTTTTTTAGTTATCAATGGAGAAATCATGGGCAGAGTAGAGAGGGGTAACCACCATTTACAGAAAATCCCAATCTCTCTGATGCCTCATTCTTCTTTCTTTCTAGGCAGGCTCAGCTGATACTGACCAAATAAGATTACACATTAGGACTGCAAGATGATTATAAGCTTGTAGTAGAAACTCGCAGGTTCAACATATCTCAAAATTGAACCACAGAAAGATTCTTTCTCTTTCTTTTCAAGGAAATGGGGATAAGATGTATGCTATGATAAGGAAGAACAGAAGTCAATCACGCCATGGCTGCAAACACCGGTTGCATGCAAGAGACAGAAGCAGCAATAACAAGCTATCCGGGTCGCCACACCAAGATACGTATTGGATAATCTCAATGCCCAAATTGATTAGCCTGGAAATAGAGAAATCATCATCACTGTTACTTTATGTACATTTCAGCAACAGTCAACAACGTAAAACAAACACCCAGAAGAAACACAAATATCTCAGAGTATACATGTTAAATCCATTTTTGTTTTTACAGTGTTTGCTTTTTTATAAACAAGGGCTGTTGGATTTTTATAATGGAGGAAAATCAGTGACGCAACAGAGAGGGGAAATCACTACAAAAAATCCCACTCACTGTTTTGCCTCATTTCAGGGGTAACCTTTTCCCATTTGGGGTAAATTCCTTGGCTTGAAAGCTAAATCATCGGAATATCTGAGAAGACCCTAGAAATCCCACAAAATAAGCAGGAACTCTACTAAAATGAACACTAAAATGAACTTTCTCATGTTCTCCCTACATCCAAAACTGACAAGAAACTGTAAATATTTCCAAGTATTGAAATCTAATAACACACACACACACATATATATATATATGTTAGTTTCCCTTCTTCTAACCATCTAAATAATGAAGAACACGTGGATCTGATCTGCATAAACTTAATATAATACAAAGTTGAAAAAGAAAACCCATAAAGTTTCGACAAAAAAAGTCCTCAATCCTCTACTGCTTGTCGGTCCAGAGGTAACTCCAAGAAACAGACAACAGAGATGAGGAAAGTTTGTTCAAACTCCACAACAGAAACCTTAGATTTTGTTTACAGTGGAAAAGAGGGATGAAATTAAAATGGAGGTTTGATTTGCATTGGTTTTCTCTCAGCTTCGTACGGACAAAGAAAGAAAGGAAGAGAAGTGAGTGTGTGTGGTGGCTGTGAAACCAAAGGAGAAAAGGGCGAAATAGGATAACTCAATCTTAGCAGTGCAATCTTATGTTGTAGACAACAAAGTGCAACTCGAACTTAAGCCTGATGAGAAGCACATAATTAGAGTCAAATATAAAAGAAAAATACTATACAAGTGGGAGATATATGCAAGCACTAACAGGAATTCTGGTGACTTTATTGTGAAGAAGTATCACCCATTTCATCGCTGCCCTACTAAAAACAAGAACAAGTTATGCAATTATGTGTACATTGCACATAAATTGCAAGATAGGATTGTATATAAACCTAACATAAAACTTTGGGAGATTCAGGATTGGTAAGGGATCGGTTGGGTTTGTATGTAGGGATAACTCTTTGTTATAGAGCCAAGTGCAGGGTAATGATTCAGTACAGGGGAGATTGGAATCTGGACTTCTCCAGATTATGTGACTACGCTGACATTATTAAGAAGACAAATTCTGGAAGTTCTTGCTGGGTTAGGACAGACACAGTTACCGTCTACGTTCCATGGTACATGAATAAACTGACTGCTCACTCTATTATAAAACTCCAACTATAATATAACGTCTTAATGTTGTTAGAAAAATATTAAAGATGGTAACATGAAAATATACAAAAATGGCACCTCTTCCACTAAATAATACTAGTAAGTAATCCGTATTTGACCAACTGACCAGATTTAAGACAAGCATACAGTTCAAGAAAACTTGCAGCACAAACACACCGCTAAAACAGTATAGATATACCAGGTTGCAGAAATATCACCAACTTATTGTTTCACAAGCACTTTCTTGGAATCCGTTCTCAGGTGTAAACGATGAAGTTTGAAGCAAAAATATAGCATTTAGTAAGAATCTCAGAGAGTATCAACAACAAGAACTAAAGAACCTCACCTTTTGTGCTTTGGTGTGATATTTCTTTTTAGAAAACACTAACAGGAACAATCTTCTCCAAAACTGCCTTCTTAGTAGACGCAAAAAGCAGCCGAATTAGGTTTGTTGCATCTTCATCACTTAATTCAGCCGATACCTCTCATTCCAAGAGCATAGACAGGATACGTTTCAATCCTGTAAAGACAAAATTTTCAAGAGAATATTTTCTTCAAACACGGAACAAACTCAGGGATCCATGATAAGAAGGAGACCCTTCTTAAGTTTTCCTATGATAAAATAGGAATATAGCTGTCAAATCAATAAAATAGAAATAATAGTCTAACCAAACTACTTAAGTATTATAGCATTACTACTAAAAACCACAGCGAAATACGGGACAAATTCAGAAATTATACAGTAACTTATAACGTCTTTCAAACAAAGTTGAGCCACTAAAAGACTGGGCTCACTGAAAGTTGTAGGGAGATGCTACTCAAACCAAAACTACATACTATTTTCATGTTGCAATGTAATGCCCAATCTATTGAGCAGACAACTCATTTGCAAGAGCATATGTTCATAGAAATAATTGAAGACTATGACAGACTTAAACTAGGATATCGAATTTAGGATGAAAAGGGTGTGTGCTTGTATTGGTGGGAAAAATTATGGCATCCCTGCATCATGTGTTCCGCATTTATTAAGGTACTTTATTTGTCTGTGGTTGTATCACCTAGAACATTTACATCTAAGCACAACGAGCATTTTAAGACATAAGTGGAAGTAGCAGAGTAGTTCTGGTAAGTTGGAACACAATAATTGATGAATCACAAGAAGTGTGACAAAAATAGATCTTTTTATTAAATGAAATAAGAAGTATTACCTGTATGACAGTCATCCACCAAGCTCACAATATCTAGTTCCCTAGGATGTAGTTAGTGTTTTTCCCATCTGATCCATTGAGGGATACCAGACACTTCAGGTCCATAAGATTTTCTCAATTCCATATGCATCGAAATAAGGGCATCCATCCATGATCAGTTTCCCAAGACTGGAAGCTGCTGCCGTTGCATATATCTGATGAGTACACCAAAGCTTCTAACTCCGTGGATGATGCAAGGGTTGCTTTCCTGAACAGCCACCACTGTTCTTAAAAAATACACAACCTAGACCAAGAAAAACAACAAACTCAATTAACCAAAAGAGAACATAGAAGCCACTAACAGGAGATAAGTGAACCTAGAAGTTTGGAATAATGCTTACCCTACGTGCAAGTTGACTTGCACGAAGATCTTCCGAAGATTTAGTAGTGAGGAAGGACTCAAGTGGATCAAACAATGCACTGCCCGTGGAGATAAGGAAGATGAAGATTGTTCTAGGACTGGAATGTTGCAGAGTTTAAGATAGACGTAGCCTGCAAACATGCTGATGCATGTTAAGAAGCAAAAATCCAATAACCTAAACAGTAAGCCAAAGAAGTTGAGTATTGGTAAAACTAAAGAAAAAAAGAATTTTTAAAACTACAGTATACCCACCTTGTCTAATACTTCTGAAGTTCTTGAAAGTCTGTGCAAGATCTTTTTTTTTTTTGATAACCGAGAAATCCGTCTATGACCCGCCCTTTGGACCAATCATAGCCTTCTAAACTCGGTGGATAATGGGCCCGCCCAATACCCTTCTCCATTTAAATACCGGGCTTCGCTTTGCATGGTGTTGGGATTGAACCGGTGACCTAAGCCACAAATCCTCCACCTTTTTCCACTTGAGCTAAGCCTTGGGGCAGTTTCTGCAAGATCATTATGCAAGCTTTCGATGGAAATTTGCCGTGACAACTGAAGATCATCATCCAACCTTTTCAAGTTTACAAGTAGTGAATATTCAGCATCACCATCCTGCAACAACAAAAATTGCACATTTAACATAATGCATCAATAAAACACACAGTCCAAGAATGTTTCGTCTCATGATCAACAATAATGTCATATTATCAATAATGTCAGATTGTCAAAAGGTATTCTCTCTTTAATCATTTATATTTACAACTCAGATTTTTTTCATCAGAAAATCTAGATCAAGAAAAACAACAAACTCAATTAACCAAGAGAGAACATAGAAGGCACTAACAGGAGATAAGTGAACATAGAAGTTGTGGAATAATGCTTACCCTACATGCAAGTTGACTTGCACGAAGACCTTCCGGATATTTAGTAGTCAGGAAAGACTCAAGTAGATCAAACAATGCACTGCGCTTGGAGATAAGGAAGATGACGATTGTTCCAGGACTGGAATGTTCCAGAGTTTAAGATAAACATAGCCTGCAAACATGCAAATGCATTTTAAGAAGCAAAAATCCAATAACCTAAACAGTAAGCCAAAGAAGTTGAGTATTGGTAAAACTACAGAAAAAAAGAATTTTTGAAAACTACAGTATACCCACCTTGTCATCAATACTTCTGAAGTTCTCGAAAGTCTCTGCAAGATCTTTTTTTTTATAACCGAGAAATCCGTCTATGACCCGCCCTTTGGACCAATCATAGCCTTCTAAACTCGGTGGATAATGGGCCCACCCCTCTACCCTTCTCCATTTAAATATCGGGCTTCGCTTTGCATGGTGTGGGGATTGAACCTCGACCTAAGCCACAAATCCTCCACCTTTTTCCACTCGAGCTATGCCTTGCGGGCAGTCTGTGCAAGAACATTATGCAAGCTTTTGATGGAAATTTGCCTTGACAATTGAAGATCATCCAACCTTTTCAAGTTTACAAGCAATGAATATTCAGCATAACCATCCTGCAACTACAAAAATTGCACATTTAACAAAAATGCATCAATAAAACACATAGTCCCCTTCAATTTGTTGAGGGCACATACAACAACTTTTTATTGCAGATTGATGTTTGAGAGGCTGAGCTAGGAGAGGCTGGAAGGTTTTAATGACATTAACAGGATAAACAAAAGAGACAAGTATGCTGGAAGATTGGGGGGAGATGAGGAGTGCTATAGTAGCTCAGATATTGGTAGTGATGACAGTAGAGATGAGTTGGATGTGCTATCTCAAAGAGGAATCGACTTACCGTCTAGAAGAAAGAGTAGAAAACTAAGGTTTGATCCGGATTGTCAGATAACTATTTTTGAACTTGGCATGGTCTTTGAGAGTGTTGTGCAATTTAGAAAAGCTGTGCAATCTTACGTTGTAGAGAACAAAGTGCAACTCGAACTTAAGTCTAATGAGAAGCACAAAATTAGGGTAATGTAAAAGCAAAATACTATGCAAATGGGAGATATATACAAGCACTGACAGGAATTCTGGTGAGCTTATTGTGAAGAAGTACCACCCATTTCATCGCTGTCCTACTGAAAACAAGAACATGTTATGCACTTTTGTGTACATTGCACATAAATTTCAAGATAGGATTGTCTCTCAACCTAACATAAAACTTTGGGAGATTCAGGAGTTGGTAAGGGATCAGTTGGATTTGTAGGTAGGGAGGACAGTTTGTCATAGAGCCAAGTGCAGGGTAATGAGTCAGTTCATGGGTGATTGGAATATGGAATTCTCTAGATCATGTGACTATGCTGACATTATTAAGAAGACAAATCCTGGAAGTTCTTGTTGGGTTAGGACAGACACAGTTACCGTCTACATTCCATGGTACATGAATAATTTGACTGCTCACTCTATTATCAAACTACAACTATAATATAACGTCTTAATGTTGTTAGAAAAATGTTAAAGATGCTAACATGAAAATATACAAAAATGGCACCTCTTCCACTAAATAATATTAGTAAGTAATCTGGATGTATTTGACCAACTGACCTGATTTAAGACAAGCATACAGTTCAAGAAATATTGCAGCACAAAGACACCGCTAAAACAGTATAGATATACCAGGTTGCAGAAATATCACCAACTTATTGTTTCACAAGCACTTTCTTGGAATCCGTTCTCAGGTGTAAACGATGAAGTTTGAAGCAATAATATAACATTTAGTAAGAGTCTCAGAGAGTATCAACAACAAGAACTAAAGAACCTCACCTTTTGTGCTTGGTGTGATATTCTTTTTAGAAAACACTAAACAGGAACAATCTTCTCCAAAACTGCCTTCCTAGTTGACGCAAAAAGTAGCCGAATTAGGTTTGTTGCATCTTCATCACTTAATTCAGCCGATATCTCTCATTCCAAGAGCATAGACAGGATACGTTTCATCCTGTAAAGACATAATTTTCAAGAGAATATTTTCTTCAAACACGGAACAAACTCAGGGATCCATGATAAGAAGGAGACCCTTCTTAAGTTTTCATATGATAAAATAGGAATATAGCTGTCAAATCAATAAAATAGAAAATGCCTATAAAGGCAAGTTGTAGAAAATAATAGTCTAACCAAACTACAGATAATTGTATTATAGCATTAATACTAAAAACCACAGCGAAATACGGGACAAATTCAGAAATTATACAGTAACTTATAACGTCTTTCAAACAAAGTTGAGCCACTAAAAGACTGGGCTCACTGAAAGTTGTAGGGAGATGCTACTCAAACCAAAACTACATACTATTTTCATGTTGCAATGTAATGCCCAATCTATTGAGCAGACAACTCATTTGCAAGAGCATATCCTCATGTTCATAGAAATAATAGAAGACTATGACAGACTTAAACAAGGATATCGAATTTAGGATGAAAAGGGTGCGTGCTTATATTGGTGGGAAAAATTATGACATCCCTGCATCAGGTGTTCCACATTTTTTAAGGTACGCTATTTCTCTGTGGTTGTATCACCTAGAACATTTACATCTAAGCACAACTAGCATTTTAAAACAAAAGTGGAAGTATTAGAGTAGTTCTGGTAAGTTGGAACGCACTAATTGATGAATCACAAGAAGTGTGACAAAAATAGATCTTTCTATTAAATGAAATAAGAAGTATTACCTGTATGACAGCCATCCACCAAGCTCACAATATCTAGTGCCCTAGGAAGTAGTTAGTGTTTTTCCCATCTGATCCATTCAGGGATACCAGACACTTCAGGTCCATAGGATTTTCTTAATTCCATATGCATGGAAATAAGGGCATCAATGATCAGTTTCCGAAGACTGGAAGTTGCTGCCGTTGCGTATATCTGATGAGTACACCAAAGCTTCTAGCTCAGTGGATGATGCAAGGGTTGCTTTCCTGAACATCCACCACTGTTCTGAAAAAATAACACAACCTAGACCAAGAAAAACAATAAACTCAATTAACCAAAAGAGAACATAGAAGGAACTAACAGGAGATAAGTGAACCTAGAAGTTTGGAATTATGCTTACCCTACATGCAAGTTGACTTGAACGAAGACCTTCCGGAGATTTAGTAGTCAGGAAGGACTCAAGTAGATCAAACAATGCACTGCGCTTGGAGATAAGGAAGATGAAGATTGTTCCATGACTGGAATGATCCAGAGTTTAAGATAGACGTAGCCTGCAAACATGCAAATGCATGTTAAGAAGCAAAATTCCAATAACCTAAACAGTAAGCCAAAGAAGTTGAGTATTGGTAAAACTACAGAAAAAAGAATTTTTAAAACTACAGTATACCCACCTTGTCATCAATACTTCTGAAGTTCTCGAAAGTCTCTGCAAGATCCTTTTTTTTTTGATAACCGAGAAATTCGTCGATGACCCGCCCTTTGGACATCCATAGCCTTCTAAGCTCGGTGGATAATGGGGCCCGCCCCTCTACCCCTTCTCCATTTAAATATCGGACTTCACTTTGCATGGTGTGGGGATTGAACCTGTGACCTAAGCCACAAATCAACCACCTTTTTCCACTCGAGCTATGCCTTGCGGGCAGTCTGTGCAAGAACATTATGCAAGCTTTCGATGGAAATTTGCCTTCACAATTGAAGATCATAATCCAACATTTTCAAGTTTACAAGCAGTTAATATTCAGCATCACCATCCTGCAACAACAAAAATTGCACATTTAATAAAAATGCATCAATAAAACACACAGTCCCCTTCAATTTGTTAAGGGCACATACAACAACTTCTTTTATTGCAGATTTAAGTTGGAGAGGCTGAGCTAGGAGAGGCTGGAGCAGACAAAGGTTTTAATGACATTAACAGGCTAAAAACAAAAGAGACAAGTATGCTGGAAGATTGGGGGTGGAGAGATACACATTACTTCACATTAAAAGTGATGCAAAATCTCTGAAAATCACTGAACATTATTCGAATTATTTAACATATTCAGTCACAAAATAAAAAATATACTTCGTATGCTCTCTATTTGAGTTGATAAAAACAAAAGGAGATTCAATGAAGGCCATCATACAATGAATCAGTTTGAATCTTGCACTACCTCCTGATATTAAATGTTCTAAATTGAATTCTAATGGGGACGGCCTAGTGATTGTGACAAGGAACTTTGAGGTGCTTTGGATCAGAGCTAATTAATCACAATGAGGTCCAACTACTACTGCTGCTGATGTTAATGCTTTCTTTGTTTTCTAAAGTGAAAGAAAGGAAAAGGACTAGAAGAGGGCAGTTAGTTTTGGTAATGGAGAAATAATGCAAGAGGCTCAGATTATGTCAAGGGGATTTCAGTTCTTTGTGCCCAGCATAGCTGCAAATTCCCAGAAATTCAGATTGCCCTGCCAAGACACCATCTCTAACTCTAATGCCCGACTCAAAGAGCTCAGCAAAACTATCATCATAGCCTTATTGTTTCCTCTTGCAGACTTTATGAGCGTGTAACTCTGTTTGAATTGCATTGGAACACACCCAGTGAGGACCAAACTAGCACAACCGACACATGTGCACAATGCATTATAGACACCAGAATTATGCATATGCATAAACAGTCGTCTAGTTTAAATTTAAAGCAAAAATAAGTCAACAGAATGTTTGAAATGGTCATCCACACGGAGAAGTTCATAGCAAAGAGAAATCACCAGAACGTCCGAGCTGGTCATCCACACAGAATCATCTCTAAAGGTTTTATTATTATTTTATTATTTTCATGTATATTTTGAAGGTTGTTGGTCTTTTTAGTTATCAATGGAGAAATCATAGGCATAGTAGAGAGGGGCAACCACCCTTTACAGAAATTCCCAATCTCTCCGATGCCTCATTCTTCTTTCTTTCTAGGCTATGCTCAGCTGATACTCAAAATATAAGATTACACATTAGGACTGCAAGATGATTTATAGCTTGTAGTAGAAAATCACAGGTTCAATATATCTCAAAATTGAACCACAGAAAGATTCTTTCTCTTTCTTTTCAAGGAAATAGGGATAAGATGTATGCTATGATAAGGAAAAACAGAAGTCAATCACGCCATGGCTGCAAACACCGGTTGCATGCAAGAGACAGAAGCAGCAATAACAAGCCATACCGGGTCGCCACACCAAGATACGTATTGGATAATCTCAATGCCCAAATTGATTAGCCCAGAAATAGAAAAATCATCATCACTGTTTCTTTATGTACATTTCATCAACAGTCAACAATGTAAAACAAACACACAGAAGAAACACAAAGATCTCAGACTATACATGTTAAATCCATTTTTGTTTTTACAGTGTTTGCATTTTGATAAACAAGGTCTGTTGGATTTTTATAATGGAGGAAAATCAGAGGCGCAACAGTGAGAGGACGAGATATGGGAAGATTGGGGCAGAATCGGGTTCAAAAAGTGGTCCATTTTCACATTCAGCAACCAGTGTAACCCAGAAGTAGACAAGGTTATCTTTGAAGTTCATGAAGTCCTTTTTTGAAGTTTGATAATCCTCAACTTCACCCTATCGTCCAAAAGGAGATTAGGTAAAATTAAAATTACAGGTCTATGCATGAAGTTCCGGTATAATGCATATTGCACAAACGCTAAATAATAACACCGACCAGAAAGTTCATGCCTAATGCATATTGAAGTGACGCCAAATAACATATTACAACAACAACATACTCAGTGATGTCAAATAACATATTAAATAAGGAAAGAGAAAAAACTAAAAAATGCACATTATCGCAAGACATTAAAGACTACTAACGCATTATAGCAGGAAACTGCAGAGATCTAGTCGGTTCTGATTCAATTAGTGTCCAAATAAACTGATCATTCAAAGCTATATTCCAATCACTAATCAAAAGAATATATGAGTATAGGAAAACATGAGGGGGAAGCAAGCAGACATGGGTGAAACGGTTCAGCCATTCTAAAACTTAAATAGACTACCATGGATCGTTTGAGCTCGAGCTAGCATACAACTATAGACTAGATGCAGGCAAGGTTGTGCTAACCGAAATAAGCATTAGCAGTGATACGAGTAAAACGCCATAACATAGATTTTGAAACTATAAATTTAGTAGAGAGTTCAAAGCAAGCAACATAGCTCAATAGTCATATCAGAATCTTTAATGAACTATGATGCGTTAAAGGAACAAGGCAAAAGATACTGCTAAAAACTAAGTCCAAATCTACAGCTAAATAACATATTAATTGAATCCAAGGTGAAATTTAGAGGGATCTTTACCTCTTTCCGAGCAGCGACTGAGGCAACGGACTGAAGAACAATGACCTGACCACAAGCGAGCTTCACCGGGTTCCGACGAGACCCAAACAGAAAATCACAAAGGTTTTTTAAGCTCTTAATGTATGTATTTCTGGGAATTTTGTGTTTCTCCAATCTATTTCTTTGATGGAGATCCTCTAGCTTTTGAGTGTCAAAAAATCCCCCCTGAAACAGTGAGAGGACAAAATAGGGGATGACTGGGGCAGAATCAGGTTCAAAAAGTGGTCCATTTTCACATTCAGCAACCAGTGTATCCCAGAAGTAGACGAGGTTATCTTTGAAGTTCTTGAAGTCCTTTTTTGAAGTTTGATAATCCTCAACTTTACCCTAACGTCCAAAGGAGATTAGGTAAAATTAGAATTGCAGGTCTATGCATGAAGTTCCAGTTTAATGCATATTGAACTGACGCTAAATAATAACACCGACCAGAAAGTTCATGCCTAATGCATATTGAAGTGACGCCAAATAACATATTACAACAACAACATACTCAGTGATGTCAAATAACATATTAAATAAGGAAAGAGAAAAAACTAAAAAATGCACATTATCGCAAGACATTAAAGACTACTAACGCATTATAGCAGGAAACTGCAGAGATCTAGTCGGTTCTGATTCAATTAGTGTCCAAATAAACTGATCATTCAAAGCTATATTCCAATCACTAATCAAAAGAATATATGAGTATAGGAAAACATGAGGGGGAAGCAAGCAGACATGGGTGAAACGGTTCAGCCATTCTAAAACTTAAATAGACTACCATGGATCGTTTGAGCTCGAGCTAGCATAATATCCAACTATAGACTAGATGCAGGCAAGGTTGTGCTAACCGAAATAAGCAGATTAGCTGTGATACGAGTAAAACGCCATAACATAGATTTTGAAACTATAAATTTAGCAGAGAGTTAAAAGCAAGCAGAATAGCTCAATAGTCGAGTTTTGGGCTAAAATCATCCTTGAAGTATAGCTCAAACTTAGGGTACATCCTTATACTATAATTGTGAACAAAAAAGGTCCTTTAACTGTCCAAACTTTACAATAAACATCCTTCTGTTAACTTTTGTTGAAAAAACTAACAGTTGACTAAAAATATGTGCCAAGCATGTGATTTTCCCAAATCTCCCTATTTTGTCGAATTGATTTCCTCTCAATTCCCCACCCCCCATCATCTTCCTTATTAATGAGAGCTGAAGCAGGGTTAATTTCTTTAACCTGTCTTTCCTCACCTCAGCTGATTTGGTGCTGATTTAGTGTATTTTTGTTACCAGTTTTTTCCACTATTTTTCAGCTGCTTTGTTTTTTTGTTGTTTTGTTTTTTTGTTTTTTTTTTTTTAATTTTCTGCTAGTTGGCAATGAGAAAAAGACACCCATAGGCAAATAATTTGGCCTCTCTGTATTTCCAACTTGAAGACAAGGCAACTGAGTATACTGAATGACAAAACTATAGGTTTCTTAAAAATATTGCAACAACTTTCATTGTACCTCTTTGATCAACCGGGAAACTACCCATTCTAATAAAATACAAGGATTAGAACGATGAGTTGATCCCACATAGTGAATAAAAGGGCACACAATAAAAAAAAAAGGAATAAATTAAAGGGATCATATTTTGGAGATTTTATTTCCTTAACTACGAGCTAAATCGGCAAAATTCTTTTATCAAATCAACCAAATATTTCACCAAATAAAAAAACAAGTAAGAACTTCTACCCAATTTTAATTAAAGCAAAGAATATCAATTAACCATTGATATCACATATTATCAGACAGAGGGAATAATTTATTTAAGGAAGAGAAGATAATTACCATCCGAGTAAAGCTCTCATAGCTTACCATAAACCGAGCAGGTAAAATAAAAGTCTCAATCACGGTGAATCAAGTAAGCCAGAATTTACCATTTTAGCCATTTGGAATAAGATTAAGGATACAATATGTCATGATTGATACATATCGGATCAATTAGGCACAGAAGTATCATCAAATTGTCATAAGCATGTGAGCAGAATATATTTGAATCAATTGGTCATAAGAATGGACCAAGTTTACCAGTTCAGATGCGTAGGAAAAGCTGAAAATTAATTTTAAAAGAAGAAAGAGGATCACAGCCTTTCAATATAGCTATCACAATAACAGGGGATTGAGTAAATCAACGTGATCATAAATATAAAACTTACCCATAATTGACTCTTTCCAGTAGCTGAAGTATGAAATTTCCCCAATTCAAGCCGCGTGGATCTTGATAGGTTCATCTTTAGCAAACCAGAAACTCCAAAGTCTTGGTTCGAACATTATCCGAACGGAGCTCGTCGTAGCTGCTGATCGGCTTTCGTTTGGTTGCTTCCTTTACCGGTCGTCTTCGTGGAGAGAAGAGGTGGCGTTTGCTGTTCGTTGTGGATGCCGGTGGCGCATTGTTGTTGCTGTTGTCCGTCCACGCTGGAGAAAAGAGAGGGGAGGAGCGACGTTCGCTGCTGCTAGCTGCTTCCCTTGCCGGAGATTCAATCCGAACCGTTGAAATAATTCGGATGAAGGGTTGGGATTTGATCTTTAGTTTGAACCAAGCAACAGACGGACGAGATTAAGATGGGAGGCTCCTTATCATTTGAATGAATGGCTAAAAATTAAAATAAGATTGGAGTTGACTAGAATTCAAATGGCTAAAATTGAAAGACAATTAAGTAGAAAGGGTTATGAATTAAATAGATTGGAATATGATGGGCTAAGACTTAAATGAATTAAGGGAAGATCAAGGAAATGCTATCCGATTAATAAGAGTAACATATTAAAATATTTTCATATAAATTAAACACATCTAAATTTTAAAAACATTTAAGTAAAGTGATTATTTTGAGTTTAACTAACAATAAATATAATAATTTAATAATTACAATGATTTTTTTAAAATTATGCATGTTAAAATATATAATTTTTTAGACAAAATCGATTGAAATTTTAAACCCAAGATATGTTTTAAAAATAGTATTTAATCGGATAGCACTCTCAAAAGTGTTATAGGTCGGTCAAAATTGGGTGTCAACAACAAGGAACACATTTTTCTTATGGAAAATTGTCGTCCTTGCTAGCTCTAAAATGTCAAACATTACCAATCGAACAAAGTATCATACATTTATTGGAAAATGGACAAATATATCCCCGAACTATCGTAAATGGTATGCAGATACCCTCCGTCATACTAATGGGACATTGATGCCCCTGCCGTCTAAAAACTAGAGCATATATGCCCTTCACTTTAACGGAAGACTAAATAGGGATACGTGGCACAATCTTATCTGTCGATCCAATATTTAATCGATGGATAAGATTATGACACGTGTATGTCCGTTAGTATAAAGGGTATATATGCTCTAGTTTTTATACAGCAGGAGTACCAATGTCCCAAAAGTATGACGAAAGGTATCCGCATACCATTTACGATAGTTCGGGGATATATTTGTCCTTTTTCCATACATTTATTTGTCCACAAACGAAATAAAATGAAAGTTGAATTTTAGTAGTAGTTCATGAGATCTCAACTTTCCATATTCGGGCGTGCATTGTGGCAACAGTAACCACCATATATACTTCAAAGCAATGGACAATTATATTCCTTCAAAGTTCAAATGAAGTTTTATCGAATAACTGATGTGTAGAGGAAAGCAAACCCCTGGACTTGAAGGTAATTAGCAGGCTAGTAATAAGAAAACTAGAAAACAAACACACAACATTTGTAAATCATTCAATTTTTAGAAAAGTAAAAATAATATAATCCCTGGGTGCTTTACAAAACATGTTTGGAAGGGAATTTATGTCACGCCCCGAGCCTATATCTTGGGAGGGACTGACACTTGAGAACCATTGTTGGCCCCAAGCGAACCCTTGGCATGGCTTACTTACTCAACGGAAGACTTAACTCAACAAAGATAATTTTATGTAATAAATAGAATGTTATAAAGGAACATTCAACTGGCCATTAAGGAAAACTCAAGTCTCAACATAAGATAATGACAATGAAAAGACTAAAGAACTAACATATGATTGTCTATGAAGCCTCTAAACAACTAAGATAGATGTTGGGACAAGACCCACGACATCCCAATGAACTAATCATAAAACTGAAAGCAATAAGGGATCCTCCGGAAAGCAAGGAGGCTCACCACAAGACACTGAGTGCTCAACTGGATCAATGATGCGCTGGATGTTGATCCTAGTTACCTGTGTCTACATCATAATAAGATGCAGGCCAAATGACATCAGTACATTGAATGTACGAGTATGCGAGGGGAAATCTAAAACAAGACATTAGCTTGAAAGGGACTGAAGAACTTACTTGACTCAATTCAACTCAACTTAACTGAATTCATTTCAATATAAAGCATTATAAAATAAGTGCAATATAAAAAAAACCTTTTTAAAACATGGATGTCAACTCTGTGTATTTTGGAAATCCAGTGATACTCTGTATGTATGCAAAGATACAATATAGCTCTGAAATGTATGTAAAAATACAATTAAACTATGTATATAAGAATACAATTAGTTATGTGGAGTTTCTCTGACCGACAACCATCACGTAAGAGCTATTGTGATGATACAGTGTTTTGCCTCACGCTGCCAGGGGCGTCCTATACCTTGTCGAGGGTATAGAACCTGAACTACTAAGTGGATTCACTAGTCTATGCTAAAAACACTAAATGAATCATCTAAAAAGTATGACCCTTTTCTACCCATGGTGGCTACATGGTTTATGGGTACTGTGAGTTGTATGAACTCTCTCCCATATCGGTGCTTAATATTACTCCCAAAATATGATACTAGCTCTTATGTTTAAAAACATACTTCTTTCTGTGATTTGAGATAATTGCTCAAAAACTTAACTCAAAGGCTATCTTGGAAATCAAGGTTTCCTCTCTTGCTTAAATGTGAAAGCATTAACTCTTTTATAAAAAACTAGCTCAAAGGCTCTTTGGAAATCAAGGTTTCCTTTCTTGTTTAAATGTGAAGACATTTTAAACTCTTTGGGAATACATAGTCCCCGTATACTTCTTTAAAGAAATGAACTTCAATCTTTACTCTTTACTCTTTACTCAACTTGAACTTTAAGTCTTAAAACAAAGTTAGAACATTTGGAAAAGACTTTGGGAAAACTCTAAGAACTTCTCTTGACTTGACTCTTACTTCTCTTGACTTTTGATCTTAACTTTCTTTGAATTAGATTATGGATTCAAGGTTCATGATCTCATGTACATTTACAACAGATCAAGTAGGGATCTTGTGAGGTAACATTATAGTCTAACACAATGGGAGTAATAACCAATAAAGGGAACATAT